ACATGGGCGAAGCAAATTGAGGACTTCCACCGGCAGCAAACATATTGGAGGGGGTGTAGGGTGATCCAGCTGTCGAGGGACCAGGAACGCCACGGACTTGGCCTGGGGGTGTGCTCGGAGGTTCTCCCATGGAATCCATTGCCAGTCGGGATCGAGCTGCGGGGTCGTTGGCCATGATCAAAGGCGGGGGGCGTCGCCGAAGCTCCGGAGGTTGGCTGTATGTCGAAGTGGTGGATGCGATACTCGAAGTTGACAAGTTCCTGCTATGACCTCGGGTATGACCACCAACACTGCCTCCGGTGCCTGCCCGCGCCCGGCCTGGTGGCCGCACTCGGTCTGTACGGACCTGGCGCTGGAACCGTGTGCCCGTGGCCGCTAGCGAATCCCCGGGGATTTCCTCATTGACATGGACCGTTTGAGCATGCTGGCGGAGGTTATCGAGTCGGGAAAACCGCCGAGAGCAGTGGCACTGGAAGGGACGTTCACCGGTGTGTTTTCGAATATGGCGAGCTAGATGTTCGCTCCGCGTGAAACTCAGATTGCAAGGAGGGAAAGAGGTGCAGAAGAACCGTTGACCTTTCTTCTTTTTCGAGGGGGGTGCGTTACTCCCTAGGTTTTGATCATGATCGGAATCGTCGTGTTCTCCCTCGGAATCGTGCATCGGTTCGTCAGACGTTGACGGGGTTCGAGCGTGGGTCGTTGTGCGGGATGAAGCGTCGCTACCGCGGCTCTGGTGTGAAACTCCGCCCGGAAACTTCTCCGTCGAAGAAACGTCCGGTGTGACCGGCACGCCATTTGGGATCGCACGGGGTGTAGCTGCTCCATCCATCGCGTGGTCTTCAGGGGCCGAGTTGTTGACAGGGAGAAAGGAAGCCATGGCGACGTAAGAGGGTGGGAGGCGGGAGTGATGTCAGGTCTTCGGAGAGCCGAATGCGAATGTTCCTGACCACCAGTCGCGAAGCCGACAATCCGATCGGAATAATCACCCAAGGACCAGTTGGGGTTCTATATGTCTCTATGTCGAGTCGCAAAAACCGCAGCGCTACGGAGAAGTCGGACGGGATCAAGACTCGGAGTCTGGCCGGATTGACTGTGAACATTTGCGCAAACTCAGTAACCTGGAAACTACTAGAGGCAAAAAGAAGAAAAAAAGAAGAGGGAAAAAGGAAGAGACCAAAAGAGATTCGGAGAAATTTCAACACGTACGATTTGAAAATGCGCTCTGGAAGAGAAAGAGAAAGAGGGGCGAAAATAGAATGTGTACTAGGATCCCAAACGCAAGGGCGGGGAGAGGTCAAGAATGTAAGAAAATCAGAGAAAAGGGAAGGTCGTTAGCTGATCGCGGTCATCTCTGAAATCCAGAGAATAGGGTGAGATCCAGCCAAAAGAAAACAAAAAGGGAAAATATAAAGCGAGTATATATGCAGTATATACTATGAAGGTTATAAAAGAAAACAGAAAATGGTGACGATGAGAGAAGAAGAAGAGGCTGAAGGGGCAAAAAAAGAGTAAAAGAGAACAGGAACTAGGAACTCAAAAGACCTTTCCGGGGCTACCGATGCGAATCATTAAGTGTTTCACCAGATATCCGCGTGTCTCCAATTTATTCAAAAGGCACCAGGCACCTCCATGATTCATTAGTGACTTGAACTACTTGAACTTAGAACTTAGGACTTGGACTCAAAGTCTAGACCTCTTTGATCTATATAGGAATTGTATTATACGCCTGGAGACTACTGGTTGACGTTAACTATCTTTCCCAGACCCTGGAAATAGGAACTGCCAAGCCTCGACAAGTTTGGTTCTTGGGGAGGAAAAAGGTCGAGACTCTTTGGAGATCTTAGGGTTAACCTCGATATACTCAACATCCCCTTGCATCGCGATGTATCGCACCTCGTCACACTCTTTGGTTACGCGGTAGGGGAAAGAGTTCCGAATGGCCCCGATACGAAGTCTTCCATATAAGATTCAAAATGTTATTTGCTCGAGCCCTCTGAAAGATCTCACATTGGTCCGAGCCCATGATAATTTTAGATAAAAGACTGCGGGGGTGATAAGAGATAGATCTGATTTCCACATGTATGTTGTATACTACATTCTACATACATTCTATGCATTCTAGAATACCTCTTTCGATATTTACATATATTACTTGAACTCAAGAAAATTAAAAAGAAGTACTCGTCACTTAGAAGATCCGGCAGCTCCGTTGAAACCGCATTCAGGCAACTCATCTGAAACTTTCTCCCCCTGGGACTAAGCCCGTTGGCCCATCGTGCCTGCGTCGCTACTAAACTTTCCCCCCACTCCCCTCGACAACTGCAAACGGCAACTCCCCATGGATTTCAGTCTAAAACATCCTCAGATCCCTGGTTCTCATGTACTTTAATGTACTCTATTCACTTGACTTGGGCCTTTCAAATACCTCATCGGAAATCGAGATGTGACGCCACGGTCGATGTAGATGATGTGCTTATTCCCTTCCAAGGTTGTGTTTGACCTATATTGTAATCAAAAAAATTCTGACCATGTACGGAGTACCGCATTGGCCCCAGACCGGCCCCATGGAAGTTCGGTTATGATCCAGCGAACACGATTGGCGGGGGGAATGGAGGCGATATTCACGACTTTTTCCCTGGAGACATGGTTCCCCTCGTTGAGAAAGTGCGGCATATTAATGTACATTACGTATATATAGTTTGCGAGATATGATTTGGGGATGTGAATAGGTGCTATACCTGAAATGGGTGAAGATGGGGCTCCTGCCGCTAGTTCAATGATCAACAGTTAGTTGACGTCGCCCACGGGAATAGCTCACGAGTACTCCGTACGGAGAAATACGATATGCAGCTCGTGTTGTATACCCATACAATATACATGTACACCGTGGTGGCCTAAGAAAAGTATAGATAGATCATCGCTACAAAGTCCCTACAAGGTAGAAGAGGGGAAAATACCAGACGGGTACCTGTAGGTACATCTGCAGGGCTGGCAGAGAGGCGCCATGCCAAGTATACCCGGGTACCAGACTGCAGGGCTTATCGATAAACCTGAATTATAGCCCTGGAGATCCAAGTCAAAGACGTCATATCTACCGGCCCTTCCACCGATCCCTCCAGGGCTACGGCTAAAACTTCCACCTTCCACGCCTTCCAGCGATCGTCGATATTTTTCTTTTTGTGTGGTATTACTCCGCTTCGCTCTTTTTTCGCCCCCTGGAGAGGCGATCCGTTTGCCTTTCTAGCGGTCTGCTTATCTGACTGGTCATTGACCTTTTACTGGCCAGTCCAATCATAGGCCATGCGCTGCATCTCATACCAGGTCCATCCATGTAAATTGTACCTGATTATGTGTTGGGGTGCGTACCTGAGCCTTATAATGTGACCATATGAATTTAAGAAAATAATATCACTATATTAATAAATTTTTGTTTGGGTGTCTTATATCATATAGCAGTATGTACTCCGTAGTGAGATAGATAGTATGTACCGTCACATCATCTAAAGCATCAATAAGCCTTATCAGCCGCGGGCCTCAAACCAACGTGTACTGCCCATACTCCATACTCTAAGGTTGCCACACTACTCCGTACAACAAGTACTATCAGGAGGCTGAGAGTCCAATTCACATGTGAATTCCAGACTGGACGAAACGGACAAAGCGCACTATCTCTGTATCCATACCTTTGCCATTCCCCCAATCCAATTGGACCCCAACCCCCTTCCTCAGCAACTGACCTTCATCTGTTCCCCTCTGTAACCTTGGAACTATCCAGGGTGCTGAGTCAACATGCAGTGCGCACTCTAACTCCCAACCACTTTCAGAACTGCCTAGAGATCCCCACCACTGTCGTGCACCGTGTGGGAGTCATCTGACTCCTCTGGAACATCCACCGCGTTCAGGTACTTGTACAACATACTTGCAGATGTATATCTACCCGATCTATCCGCTTATCTGCGGCACATCCCAACGTGTATGTATATGCATTTATGCATAAGGGTTATTTTCCGATGTTCGGAGATTTTTGCTTTAGATTTTGTGCGAGCTGGCGGATTGGGTCCCGATAACCTGGTGCTAAGATGGTCGTTCCAGGGTACCCACTGGTCTATTTGTCCCTAGTCAGGTACGCTAGCCGTTTGCACCTTGGCTTTGGGCGCGACTGGTTGCTGGTACCTGGAACTTGCGTGTCTAGGTGTTGGGTGTTTGTTGCTTCCAAGGGTCTGTCGCCCATGGTGCGACAACAAGGTTCAGATATTTATAGTAGTGGTAGAATTTAACAGCTGAGGGGATATGGATGGTCATGGTTATGAAGTAGCTGGCATTATTCCAAGGTTGAATACATAAGGATGTTTAGTGTGAATAGCAAATCAAATGTTTAGAATGTCTTGTTTGTAGGAATGATCACGAATTCTGTTTGTAGCAACTATTGTCCGTAAAAGAAAAGTCTGTAAATATGGCAACACTTTGTTTGTATAGAATAGGACGCATATTGAGAGATTCTATTAGGTCATTTCCCAGACAAATAAGTCGTCCGCATTCAAACGGGAGGCTCAAATAAGCATATCCTTGTGTATATAATGACAGGGAAACTTCCGCGTTTTCCTCTTCTGCTCTTTAGCTCCAACTTGCTCTTTTCTCTTTCCCACGCACTCTAGTCCCCTCATCACACTCCCTGTCTTCTCATCCTTTTCCTCATCACTCCGTGTCTTACTCCCCTCGCTCTCCCCGAAGGTTATCACGTCTTGTAACCATTTATAATGTGTATACATCAGTTTCTTCTGGCACATCCTGGGTTTGCCCCTGGAAACCAAAACACCCCTCTGATGCATGGAGCAACTACTGTGCCGAACACTTTATCCATGACAGTTGCAACGCAAGGATCGATACGAAGGCCAACATCCTAAGTCAAAGTCGATACTCAGACTTGAATTCCTCCAGCAGCTCTGTCACAGCTGTCCAACCGACAGGGGAGATGAACGCAGACCCAAACGGACAGGCATATGAACAGTGAGGTGTGTCCTTTTTTCAATAACGATAATTACAGTCATGTTAACCTTTTAACCCCCTGCTAGGTACACCGTTCCTGGGACACCAACAAAGGATCCTTAAGCAAGTCCAGCAGCTTGATATCGATCTTCTCTGTCTACCAACAATTATCATTATCACCATGTCATCCATCGATGACCCTTCCCACCATGACGAACGGCAGCAAGGCAACTCTTCAGGCAATGGCAAGGTGGATTCTCGGACGTCGCGCGACCACAACCGGAGTACGTTTCATGGGCGTCCCTTTGGAAGACCTTTCTAACATATACTTCTACAGATTACCACTTCGAATCTATTCCCTCGCATTATTTGAACCGGCCGTCGAAAACCGCTAGATGGGCTGTGCAGTCACTCGAATCCGTGACTTGCGACTTCCAAGACGGCCTGCTTCCCGCGTCTTGGGTTTTTGCATGAAGGCCCATGGCTGCACGTTTTCTGATCAGCATCTGCGTCAACTCTATGTGGGAGGGCTCAAAATTCTGCCATAAACACTTTCTGAACTGGAAGCCAGACGTCTCAGCGAAGGTAAACCACAGTGGATGGGCTTGGGAGTTTATTTGAGGAAGCAATTCTAAGCAGCGCTGCCCGAAAAGTGAGATGATGGCAAGAGTCATGAGGAGGATGGCTTCCGGGGAAAATATCAGTTTCCAGGTCGATATTAAGCACATCGAAAGCCGAGATGATGGCTTTGCTGCCGGATTCTATCCTCCTTGGGAATTTCGCCATCAGCTCACTCTTCGGGCACTGCTGCTTAGAAGCCGCTTTCGTGAATAGACTCTAAGTTCATTCATTGCGGTTTTATCTTCGCCGAGACATCTGGTTTCCAGTTCAGAAAGTGTTTATGGCAGAGTCTTGAGCCCTCTAACACAGAGTTGGCGCAGCTTTTATGGCTGCACGTTTTTTCGACCAGCATCTGCTTCAAGAGTCGACCCTTTGATTGGAGGAGACGAACTTTCCTATGGCTTGTAGAGCTTCTTTCTCCGCTGGTCTCGAAGGGGCGAGAGTGCTCGATTGTCTTTCCTATTTATAGCGAGGGAATCATCGCGCCTCTCTATACTGGCAACTTGGCGGAAAAGAAAAAAAAGAAATGATCAAGACGGGGTGCGACCAAAGGTCGACATGAGCGGAGTTTCCCCAGCTGATGTCAAACCTCGTTTGTTATACCAACCAAAGTATCGTCCTTTGTCTCCCCAATTCTTTCGTGGGCTAGCAGCCAAACAGAAGTCTTCTCTTGGCGATTAGCTTCAAGGCCTGCAGTATTAGGCTCACCTCCCCAAGACTCGTTATCCCCGAGCGTGCACCCTGTCTCGATCATTTATTCTTCTCCGTCTTTGCGGCCAAGTTGCCGATGCAGAGAAGCGCGACGAGGAAGGAGATGATTCCCTCACTATATACAAGGGGGAAGAAGTCCCGAGTCCCGTGAGCTGTTGCAAAAGCAAAGCAAAGCAATCTTGCTTGTTGGGAATATCGTTCAATAAGTAGGATTTCTGTTCGGTTCCCTCGCAAGGGGAGGAATCTACCTGATGATCTCGCTTGTGGTTAATTCATACTTGCCAAAAATCTGGCCACCCGTTTCGCTCAGACAAAGTCCAGACTGTCGGAATGTGACTAATATTATCTTTTTCCTGTCTCTATGACGGTATAATCGTGCGGCACTGTGTTGTGACGCTAGGGCTGTGTTGGGCCAGAGAGAAGACATGGCCCATTGGTTATTGCGGCCCTGCTATAAAGACTAAGAACTTGGCGGACAACGAAATATACACACTGTCTCATGTGTGCTGCCGCAAAAATCCTTCTTGCTGGAAGCTCGTTGAAAAAGAAGGGTTTCTGTCAGTATCCCTCACAAGGAGAGGCGTGTGCCTGAATCGACCATCGAAAACTGCTTGGCTGTCTCTATCATTTCAATCTCAATTGTCACTCATCCCTACAAGTTTTATATCTTCCCTTCAATCCTCCCCTCAGCCCTTTACGGTTCTCCAACTTCCATCTTCTTCTTCACGTTCTTCTTCGCCATCATGCCGAAGCCCTTGTCAACTCGCCTTCAAAGCCTCGTCACGGCTTCTGCGATAACGTCGAGCAGATTTTGTACAATATAGAGAACACTGAGATCATGAGCAAACGAGCTCAGTGCATTCTGATGCAAAGCCCAAGCACACCAATTTGCCGTACTACGACAAAATCCAGTACGATTCAAACGGCAAACCTGTGTCCGCCCAACTTCAGATTACATTGACTAAGAAAGTGAACGCTTGCATCGTGTGCGCAATGACACTGAAGGCGATATTTGTTGTTCCACATCATCTCCGAAGGATAAGGATTTCTCTAATAGGATGACCGGCAGGCACAACTGCAAGCCTGGAACTTCCTATTTCGCGAGTGTTGACAAATCTTCACTATGGCGCCGTAATGACTCAACATCTGTTCTCAATCCGGAATACGTCAATTTTATTTGCAGCTTGGTCAGTCAGATGACTCGGAATGGAATCGCGGCGAACGACTCTTTGATCCTCAGGCAGCACTATCTTATGTGCCTTAAGCTGGGGCCTCGCTGGCCTCAGCAAGCAGGATCTAGTTGAAGGGCAATTCGTGGATCTCAGAAAGTCCGCTGAAATCCAAATGCATTTTCGAACATGATGATTCGGAACTGCCTTGTCATTAAGTACCAACTTGAGCGATGGAGTTCGCGGGGTTTAATTTGGCATGTCTGCCGGCACGGGTCTTATTCATCGAAGACCGGAATGTAGGGTGCGATGGCCGTGGTGCCCATGGTGGCCCACTGAGTTGTCGATTAGGCCGATGGACTTCGTGAAACGAGAATGGATGATGGTGGGACTCCCATATAATTTGGTTCTACACTTGAGATGAACTGTTGGAAGATGCGAGATGACTTAAGTCCAGCAATCCCTGAATAGAGCCGATGGCCCTCGACAGCAGAATCTCTTCGCTGACAGGAAACTTTGCCTGAGCATGACATATTCTATGGAATGACTCGCCCTTGTGGAGTATCAGCATTTACTGGTTGGAATGTTGCGCCTTTTGGCATTCGGTGCTCTTGGCTTGCGGTTAGCTAGTGATAGCTTGCTGCGTTGTGACTCGATGCCAAGGTGACGTGATTGAACAAAACTGGCTTGGTATGGTTGCTATGCCTCATCCCACATTGGCCTCCTACCCTCCTACCATTTTTACGCATGTCGCTCTGTTACACAACCGTCTCTTTTGGGCATCTGTATTCTCTCGTATTCTCTCTCGTTGAGAAACATGCTGAGCGCGGCTGATGGGTGATTCAGTAGCTCAAGCTTCCATCACGACATTTGCCCCACAAACACCGTCTACGAGCTATGGGTGTTAGGGACGTTGCCGCCATATATGGAAAGATGAAAGCATGGAATCCGAATGGAAGCACGCCTGGGAGAAAATTTAAATGGCGACAAACTTGCACACATTCAGGAGGAAAGGCCCATACGGCGATCATGAAGAGCCTACAAAAGGGAAGAAGAACAAGCGTACGCACAGGTCAGATCTTTGGGACTCGTTTCGACCGAGTCTTTTGGTGATGAGACGCAGCGTGTCGAGACTATCTCCTCCTCCCAACACTACAGGCAGCATCAGCAGGGCTGAGAAAGTTCCAAGCCATGGCTTGGACTGCCAGCGTGGAACAACCCTGCCATTTGACCTTGTTGCCAGTTCTCTCGCATCTTTGGCGGAATATTACTCATTCAACTTTCAATCATGTCTTGTCGGCTCATTGCGTGCGTCAACGCTTTGCGGGATGTAATTCCTACAAACTTTATTATTATTGTAGGCGGCGCTGCAAACTTACAAGGCTACGGAAGAGTCACACATGATGTAGACATTCTGATCCGGAGCATCAAATGATCTCTGTCTAATTACTCATTCCAACTTTCAATCATGCCTTGTCGTCTCCTACAGTAGCATTCTCAACATGGAGTATAGCCCGTAGCCCGTACCCCCATAGGGATGTAGGTGAACCTAGCCTACATCTGTAAATAGGGAAATAAAGTCGCTACAGGGAAAAAAAAAACTTTACGAAGACATATTCAGATCATTAAAGACATATATTTCAGCTATCACAATCCTCCTCCTTCCACACTGATATCTCCTTAAAGCAAGAGTCCTCAATTCGGACGTAATCCGCAGCTTGAGGTCTCAAATGTGATACCTTGGCTTTTGCATTCACACCAGCACCGGATTTCAATAACAGCTTTATAACTCGGACATTGGCAACTGGACCTTTTACGACTGCTCGATGGAAGGGTGTAATTCCACAAATATCAGCTGCGTTGGCAACGGGCGAGATAAATCCCAGTGAGAGCTTTTCCTTGCCTACCAGCTTCTCCTGGCCAACTACCGTCCAGCTTTTGCGAGATGTAATGGCGTGCGCCCGAACTCATCTCGTGCATTGACATCCGCAGCATGATGAAGGAGTAGTTTGGCTACCTCGATCCATCGAGGGTTGTCTTGCCAGGAAGGCCACGTAGGAATCAAATGTAATGGAGTTGCGCCGCTATGATCTCGAGCATTCGGATTGGCTCCATATTCAAAAAGCAAACTTATAGTATCCTGCTGCCAGTAGAACACAGCCCAATGTAGTGCTGTATATCCATCGATTCCATAGGCAATGTCCGGATCAGCACCAGGTTCGAGAAGTAGCTTCATTGTATTGTAGTAGCTGAAGGCGTTGTGCTTTTCCTACACAGGTAGGAATGATCTTGACCCCTACTAATGATGATTTCAGCAAGAGCAGTTTCTCCATAATCACTTCTGCTGTTCACATCCACGCCGTAATCGGGCATCAGTTTGACGATAGTAAAGTATCCCCTCGTTGCGACAATATGGAATGGACTGCGTTCGGCACTATCCAGCCTGGCCCCATATTCAAGAAGTAAGTCCACGACTTCTTCATGGCCATTTTCGGCAACCCCGCATCCTGTACAAGTGCCCAGTCATCATCCTTCGCACCTTCTTCTAGTAACAATCGGTCTATAAGGGTATTTCCAGGTCTACCGTATGGTCTCCCAATATATAGAATTAAGTGAGGTCTGCAGTTGCGGAGACACTGGACTGAAATCTGAGTGAGATCGGGCTGGGTTTTGAGGACTGAGATGACATCTTTGACTTCAAGTTCTGGTAGAATAGCAATCAACAGTTCATTTGGGAGTGAAAGAAGTGAAAGTGACATTGCCTTATAGCTTCAGCCACCTGGTCAGCGACGGTCTCTGTCTCAGTTTCAGAAAGTGTAGGCCAAGCATCTTCAAGAGTTTGACCTTCCACTCGTTCCATGAGAACCATAGACCGGTTTTCATTGTCAACCCGTTCACGTAATACTGTTGGGACCGGGATTTCTGTATGATGCGTGAGATATTCCATTGTTTTGACTTCGGTTTTAGGAGGCCCGTTCGGACGGTCTTTCAAGATGATATCCGAACCAATAGCCCATACACCTCGCTGGCTAGCCCCATAGAAGAGTTTAATGTGGCTAGAATAATGACACTGCTTCTGTTTCTCAGTGGACCAGCCACAAGCTGCGACATTGTCGATAGGTCTTTCTGCCATATCTGGGGCCCATAACAGACAAACAAGGGTCGAGGAAGAGCAGAGAACTTGGTTGGCATTTGGCTAAAACACTGCTATTTGAGTGCTGCGAAAACGCGGTGTGTTTGTTTCTGGGACACGTCGCCCTGCATCGGAGTATACGCCGTAGCTCCCAACCCTGAACCCCAAGCCGATCCTTATGCAAGAAAATGGCTTCTGCTCTTACCAGGTTCGAGGGAATCTTCCCGATGCTGGCGGATGATATAAAAAATGCAATGCATTGGGCAATACGGACTCCCAGTTCGGATTTGGCAATGGTTCGAGAAGATACATATATTTGTCATTAGCGCTGTAGTCAATCCTTGCGGTTGACCTTATCTATCTCGTACCGAAACTCGAATCCCCCTTGTAGAGATTCGGTAAAATGTACACCATGCTTGCAATAGCCACTGGATCACCGTCCCAGGGGACCAACAACTGAGCTCACCATCACGGCAGCTTCTCGCTCCCAGTTTCCAACCGCCACCGTGTCGGTTCCTGGTCGACCCTTCTCGGCCAGCAGGCTGGTAGCAGACACCTGCGACGCACGGAGCACGCACTCCTTAATCTCGACTCTTAGTCGATCACGGTTGGACCGCAATGTACGAGCAGAGACACCGCCTCGATTGGCGATTTCCTGGACACGCGGGGCAAGAGACGAGGCGAGGGAGCGCCAGTAGTAGGAAGGAAGTGATGAGGTGTCTAGGGCCTGGAGAAGAGGCTGTAGGAGATTAGATTTGTTTGAGGGGGCTGTTTCGGATTCGGTGCCGGGTTCGTCGGTTGTGGTAGTGGAGGCCAAGAGAGGGTGTGGTGGTGGGCGGAGGTTCCTGAGAATGTTCTCCAAGGCGACTATATCTTGGCATCGTGCGGAGGTGTCGGCGAGAGTTCGGTCCATGGTTGGGAGTTGGGTAAGAGCCCGGGCGAGGGAATTTACGGATGTCATGATCGCTGTGTGCATGAACCCTTGTAATGTTGACAATAAGAGTTCGGGCTTGTAGTCGGCTGCAGTGATGGTGCCCTTTGGCGGAGGCGAAAGAAGATATAGAGTTGTGGCGGCGGTTGCCAGTCGTGCTCGGGCATCGCGGGCTTGCTTATAGCCAGATGGCAGGGATGACTGACCATTGGTGCTTGCCGAGTTCGAGGACAAAGAGAATCTGTTGATGGTCTGTTGCGCTCTCGACTTGACCATGTTCTCTGCGGGGATGACGAATTCTCCGCGTAGAGTGCGGATAACCTTCACTCGATCCAAACCATAGCCTTCCTCGCCCGGTGTCGCGGCTGAGAACATTTCTCGCAGATCCAAAATCGTGTACGTTGCTCGTTCCAGTGCACGGAAACCATCTTTTCCAGTTGATGGCGATGCTGCTCCATCCGGTCCTGCTGAGGGGGTCGGCCCTGTTGCGCCTCGGCCTGTAATTTCAGAGACCTGGCTCTCCAACTGCCTGCCCAGGGTGAAGCAGCGCGCAACTGCCCTTGCTAGGCGGACAGTTGCAAGTGAGTTTTCAGCAGCAACACGGGCTTCGTCGGCTGCTTCCCATTTTTGTATAACCTCCTTTTGGAGGCGCTTGTACCCTTGAGTCACAGAAGCGACCTGCGTCCCTGATTCTTTCAAGATATTATCAGCGGCAGCAGTTTGGCTTTGGGTGTGCGAAAGCAATGGGAGTGCTGATTTGGTTGTCAATGTATGGATGTGTGTGTCAATCTCCTGAAGATCAAAGAGCACCCGTGATAATGGTGTGGACAAATCCAGCGGGGTATCTGTTGCATTGTTTGTGCTTGTCACCAATGTATTGGCGAACGAAGCTGGGGAGAAGTCTGGGTCTAAGAAGGCCTCGTAGTCTATGTATGACGGATCTCCTTCCGCCATGATGGATCTAGACGCGTCCAATGTCTATCTCAATTGGGCTGCATAGAAGGAAAAAGAGCAATGAAGTAACTCGAGAACACCTTTTGAGCCAGCCAATCGGGGGCATGTGGAGTTCAGAAATAGTATATCTCAATGCCGCTCTCAATGTTTTGACGTCGACTTGGTCATTGGAGGAGAGAGGGATCCATGGATATTGGCCTTGGAGATAGGAAGCCCACATGGCCGATAAAGATCACGTGTCGTTCCTTAGTCATCTTATACATTCCCACCTGGGCGAGTATGTACCTAGTTAGATATAGGTCATGAGGACATTACTGGCTATGGACGATAATATAAAACGCAAAATATGAGTGCTCAAAGATATTTAATTACGTCCAGCTAATCCAGACCATAACGCAGTACATATAATGTGGTTACACAGACAATTTGGATTTGGAAGCACAGAAGCAACATTGGAAATTTTGACCAATCGTATAATCTTTTAATCTTATCACAATGGCATGATATACCTCTAGAGCCAATAGATATTCATTGGAATTCTCTGTACTTTGAAGCGCCTTCCAACAACAGAGCGGGGTCTCCATAGATAAGAAGCTCGGAGGTAAGCCCGAGTACCGGACATGAACATCAACTCTCAACCTTTAAAGGCACAATTCCTGAGATAGCACCTTAAACCGCAAATTCCCGCCATGTCATCTACAACAATTACGCAGCAAGAGTATTCCGTTCGCTTGACCAACGAAGATCAACTACCGCCACTACCACCAGCGGCAAACGATGCATCCTTCCAGGGTCTGGCTCGTGGAGGCCGAAATGGCGCTCTCAAACTCCGGGGTATTCCCACATTTTCGGATCTGACGGAGAAACGCAAGTGGATGAAGGAGCATATGGCTGCTGCATTCCGGTACTTTGGCAAGCTAGGGTATGGGGAGGGTGTCTCCGGGCACATTTCGATGCGAGGTAGGTGTAACACTGCGATACTTTGTATGGAATACGTTTTACTGGCGAGCAAAAGTAGTCTGACGGCTTGCAGACCCGATCCTCAAAGACCATTTCTGGATGAACCCTTTCGCCAAGCATTTCTCGACTATCAAGGCTTCGGATCTCGTTCTTCTGGATGCTGATGGATTCGTCGTCGACGGTGGAGCTCAGCTGCCTGTCAATGAAGCTGGCTTCCTGATTCATTCAGAGATCCATAAAGCACGCCCAGATGTTGTGGCTGCGGCGCACACGCATGGTATTCATGGAAAGACGTGGAGTTCATTTGGAAAGCCAATCGAGATGCTTACACAAGGTTAGTGGCTTTTCCTTTTCTCTTGAGGTGGCATTGAGGGTTTCAATTTGTGCTAACGAGCTGGATAAAGACGCATGCAACTTCTTTGGCAGAGTGGGTGTTTACGAAGACCATGGCGGTATTGTTCTGTCAGCAGAGGAAGGAAAGGCGATTGCAAGGGCATTGGGCAAGGAAAACATTGCATGTATCTTGCAAAATCATGGGTGAGTCGATTTTCGCCGTTGCGTTTTCCGTATGCGTCTAGTTCTATCTGGCTAATTCGACCTTACTCATGTACAGCCTCCTAACTGTCGGTCGGACTGTTGATGAAGCAGCAATCCTCTACTCCATGCTGGAGAACGCTTGCCGGTCACAGCTCCTTGCTGAAGCAGCAGCAGCCAATGGTCTTCCGAAGAGGATCATCAAGGATGATGCGGCCAAGTTCACCGCCGATGCTGCCCAGAATCCTGTAAGTGGGATGGACATACATGCCCAAGTGCTTAAGAATATATACGCTGACAACTTTTAGCACAACTTCTATACTGAGTTCCAGCCTGAGTTTGATCTGCTTGTCGAGGAGACAAACGGAAGGTTCCTCCAGTAAAGTGTGAGCGTTATATATGTCACAATTTCCAATTCGGTTCAAAGCTCTTTTGAATACGTAGCCTATATATTCTCTAAGGTTTAAGACAACAAGTACTCAGCCAAAAGATAGTATTCATAAAATCACTTTTTTCGAGGCTGTCGTGGAGGAGACAATTCCAAAGGGCAGTAGTGCAGCATGGAAGTCGAAAGAGCAAATCGTCAATCACAACATTTGTCCATGAGAGCCTTGAATGAAGGGCTCTGGGAGGCTGCATTGACCTCAGACGCTCCTGTAGTCAATAGGTAAATAATTCCTTCATAGTAGACAGCACAGGTTTTCGCTCAGCTGCATTCGACCTTCGTGGGGATGGATACTAGTCTATGTCCCTATTCAAGAAGTAGAGATTATACACGAATTTCTTTTATATAGCTCGTCATATTGTCTGACCGAGGAAAAAAGTACAAACCTAGCAGGTATTAATGTAACAGGAATCGAACAAAACGAATATGGAAATCAATTCCTTCAGAACAAACGCCATCTATACAGATGCAACTGCCGCAAGGGTATACAAAATGGAAGAGACGCACCAAATAGTCCATATAGACTAGAGCGTTAAGAAGGGAAAAAAGGTATAACAGGCAGCAAAAAGTCGTTCATAGCCCCAACGGGGAACATCAATGATGGGGCGAGGGTGCGAGGGTGCGAGCGGGCACGGGTTCATACAGCATGCTCGCCCGTGTGCTTCATATCATCCATTTCATATTCTTGCAAGCTACGTTCTCGACCGCGGCCGCGGCCAAAGCTCGACTCCTGCTGACCGTCGCCGGCAGACGCTTGTGATGATGGGCCTGCTTGGGTGCTGCCACCATGTCCACCAAACTTGATAGGTTCCAGCTCCCGTCTTTGGCACGCCCACATGCCGAGGAAGGTCATCATGGCTGCACTAGCGAATTGAAGTCCCCACCAGAGTAGATTTGAAGGGAGGGAGTGGGTGTACAAAGTAGTGGTGATAAGGTGGAGGAAGTGGATCGTCAGGGCGAAATCAGGGACCAGCTTTGAGCGGGATACAAAAGCAAGTAGGAACATGACGCTGAGTATCCACAAGAGGAGATTATAATTAGCCGCTGATCGGAATACCGCTCGCAATGTCGACCCAGTGGACAACTCACCTAATAAAGCAATTCAACAACCACACCAACCCCAACATCCATCCAATGGTCGTATCACCGCGCAGGGAGTCCCAGCCAAATACCAGGTCTAGAGAAAACGGTGCGCCATAGACAACTGTCGTGAACAAAATGAGCACCGTGGCGCAGGCATAGTATGCGAGCTGTAGCAAGAAGATCTTGCGGACGATCTTCAACGGAGGGAGCTCGGTGCGCGACCCCGCTGGCGGACGCCGGCGCCCGGACATTAACTAAATAGACGACGGGGGGTTTTTTCACCCTCGCGAATTTCGTTCAAGGTCGAGGTCTCAACGTGGTCAGGTTGAGCTCGGCGCTCGAGGCGAGGGCAAGATGGTGGAGGCGTGGGGAAGTGAACATGCAATGCTAGTCGGGAGAGCGTTCCAAGCGAAATCCAGGGACAAAAAGTATCCGCTGCCAGAGGCTTCAAAATTATATGTAAATTCCAGAACGTGGAGTGCGTCGAAAGTGAAAAAGGGTCCGGAGATGGAGATCGCCTGCCTGGGATCAACAGTCTTGGCGGTCACAGGCCCGACCCGCCAACAACTGGGTAACTGCCGTCACTGACACCTTTTGGCTGCACAACTCGCTACAAAGCACAGCATTCTTTACTGATTTGAACTCGACGGATCAATCGATCAATCGCTCACTCGCTCCTTCTCCGATATAATCGTCTCTCCAAAATGGGCTGGCTACCTTGGTCTTCCGGTGATTCAAACAAGAACGCAGCCTCCGACGGTGGCCGCATTGCCCCGGACCGAACGAGTCGCGCGCGCTGCTGGGAGGGCCGTGATCGATTTTTCGCCTGTCTTGACAAGAACGATATCCTGGACGGCATTAAAGATGATACGAAGGCGCGACAGAAGTGCGCGAGCGAGGTCGCGGAATTTGAGGCAGCATGTTCACAGAGCTGGGTACGTACGGCGGGATCTTTGATCGGCTGCTCAGAATTACCAGTTTTAGTTGTTTCCTAGCTTGCTATACATTATATGTACCTATTCATTGGCAGAATGCTGACTCGAGATTCTTTGCGTTTTCTAGGTGAAATACTTCAAGGAAAAGCGTGTGATGGAGTTCAACCGGGACAAGACGATTGAGCGCATTCAAAAGGAGGATGCGGCCAAGGTGAAGGAGTTGAAGGAGCAAGGTTGGAACTCGAAATAAGGAGCCAGGGGGACTTCATCGGCGGCTTTTGTACAATATGTAGCATATCCTCTCTTATCACGTACCTTGATGACCACTCATTTCGAAGGTACATACATTGCTAGAAGCTGCAAGCCTGGGACGGCTTGGTTGCTCAATTCTAATCCCTGCATATTCCAAGTCGTAAGGTTGAGGACTCGTAACTGTGACCGCAGTATGGAAAACAGAAGAGAGGAGAAATTTTCGGATTTTCGATGGAATAGGGTTGACTTTGATTATGCCTTTACATGGGCTCCCGGAAAATTGTCAAAATTGCGTACTAGTAATATGCACGTACATACATAGGCAACTTGTGCAATTATCTACAATATGACTACCCTCATAAAAGCGGTACCTAAGAAGCCCTAGAAAGCCCCGGACAGAGGGAATATGGTAGAAGTTATAGAAGTTACACACACTTTGATGCCAAAGAGAGAGATGTCATAATATAACCGAACATATGTGTCAAGAGAACATTCGTATTATGTCCCGGGGGAAGGGGGATAAACCAGTGGTCGCAATAAGCAAGAGTCCAATGGTTGAAAAAACATGTCAACTCCGTCCAACGTAGCGCCGTGCCCTAATATCTACCTAATATCTTACTGCATTGTCACACATGAGAAGCAAAGAGCAATAAGGAAAGAAAAGGAAACGCCTAGTGTTGCAAGAGCTGGTTTTTGGCCAGCCAGAAAAAAAGGAACCGAAGCAGAGCACACTAAAATCCACCAAGTAGGGATGCAAGAACGCCAGGCTCCGGAAATGAACAATGAGAAGATGAACCTTAAGTTCGAATGAGAATGATAGGGAGTAAGAGAGTCGTGAAATCATTGCTTCCATTTAGCCAGGTGCTGCATCAGGTTCTGTACCTGGGGACCGGTAGGTCCCTGGCCCTGCTGCTGTTGTCCACCTAGTCCTTTGGCCAGGAGCGAGAGCAGATTTGGATCGGTGATGACGGGTGCATTTACAGGCTGGAGATTGAAGGGTGGATGGGGAAGGGGTTGCTGTGCGGTAGTTTGCACAGGTGGAGGTCGATGCGTGTTGGTCAGGAGACTGGCGAGATCGGCCGGAGGTGGGTTTGGTGAGGCAAAGGGTGACTGAGTAGCAGACACGGGCTGCGAATGGGGAGGTCGCTGGAGCGCCGACAAGAGAGTTGAAAGGCTAGGACCATCAAGTGAACCAATGAGATTCGCAATGGTTGGTGGATTTGAAAGCGCAGGCAAGCCAGGTGCAGGTACCGACATAGGTTGGCCTGGAGGGACAATGAAACCAGGATTGGGCGCAAATGCGGTTGGGGCTGCTCCTCGCTGCATTGCTTGGGCTTGGTGGCTCAGGAGCTCAGCGGACATGTTAGGCTCGAGCTCAGGGTAATCTATGTGAAAAAAGAGAGATGAGCAAGGCGTCGATGAAGAATCAATCACATAATGCGCTTACCAAGGAAGCGGACATTATCCAATCCAGCGGTCCGGTCAAATAGCTGCAGAGGAATTTTCCGAGACACTTGATTCGGACGAGAGAGGCGGACGACCGCAAGGACACCTTCAATAAACTGACGATGCACGGCGGCGCCAAGAGGGATCCGTGGACCAAGCACCAGGACATCCACTCGCAATCCACGGTTGCGGAAAGCGTTCTCTACATGAAGAACGAAGTTTCTTCGCAATGTCAGTGAGTTTATTCAAACAGACATCGAGAGATTCAACCAAAACCAACCTGTCAAGTTCCTCCAGCACGAGGAGCTGCACCTCCGGTACATCTCGCTGAGCTCGTCGAGGCACGGGTAAATCCGCTTCACCTTCATAGATACCACGTGGTCTTGGGCTGATGCTGCGGTAACGTCGATCTCTGGAATAGGGAGAGCGAGGAGAACGTGGAGAGCGAGAGCGCCTTCGCTCGCGGCGATCAAATCTTTCTGGGCTTCTGTCTCGCGACCGATACCCATCTCTAGACCCCCGAAAGGGTCGCGGGGAAGGCGATCGCGGCGGGCGATAATCGTCGCGTCTGCTACGGTGAGAAGGTTCATCCCGGAAATCGCTAAATGGAAGCCGACTTGGCTCATATGGCTTAGGCCGGTCGTATCGATCGGCCGGGGCCCGGGCGTTAGTTCGCCCAGGAGCAGCACGGCTGAACTCCGGTGACCGGGAACGACGTGGCGGCGGTGCACGGGAAGAAGGTTCGGGTGCTTGAGACGGTCGGGTCGATCGCTGAGGCTTTGAAATTTCAAGATCTGGGAACGGTTAGGTCTTCGAGAAGAAAAATTGTTGAGCTATGGCTTGGAGCACTCACGTATCTTCCTGCCCCGTACAATGGCTCCCTGTTCGACGCCGAGAGCCGCATGGCAGGAACTCGCCTCTAGGAACTGTATGAAGCCGTACGCCTGCTTGATCGATATCTGGGCCAGTTTGCCGTATTTATGGAAGATATGGAACATGTCGCGCTTGGTGACTCTTTCAGTAGGGAGGTTGCCTGCATATGGTAAAGCTGTTAGATCGACGAAGAGTAGACATAAGCCGGAACAATACTGACCAACAAACAGCCTGGAGCCCATGGGGAATCGATCCCAAAGACCTTCCGTCACATAGATCCGTTCATCGTGCAGGAACTCGTCATATTTCTTTTGGACCTCTGGACCCCATGGCGAATCGTCGTCACCAGGCTTGGTAGACCGACCCTGCTTTTCAACACGGCCTTTCTTGGAGGCTACAAAAGGCTCTTGCAAGGAGCCCTGAGATTCGGCACCGGTAGATGGGGTTTGCGGGAAGGTGGCAAAAGGAGCCTCAGCCCCTCCAGGAGCAATGTTAAATGGCTGAGACTGGGTTTGGGGCTGAATATTACTAGGTTGGGCTGAGTAGGCAGGCGACGCAGTGGCAGCGGCATCATGGGCAGATGGAAGTTGGTGATATGCCACCTCGCCATTTGAAGTATAATGGGCCTGAATAGAATCGAGGCTTTGGGCATGAGGGTGGGCAGGGATGCCCTGGGATTCGAGGGAATCGGCAGCGGGCGCTTGGTGGAGAGATGAGTTCTCAGCCGAACAAACGGCGGGGTTGGTTGCACCAGGGTTAGGATGAGAAAGATTGTCGAGGAGTTGCTGGAAATTGACACCTCCCCCGTTATGTCCCACGCGCTCCTCAGCAGTTAGGTGGTCCGGCATCCTTGACTGCTCCGGGTTGTGGGCATGATCTACTTCGCTCCCAGTGGCAAAGCCTTGGGATACCGGAGCAACCGGAGCGGCGTGTGAATAAGTGGAATCGGAATGAGAAAAACCTGAGCTCGGATGGCCGGCGCCTTCGGACCCCGCCGCTAGGTTGGGAGTGTAGTATGCAGAAGCAATCATTTCATTCTGCATCCCAGGATTCGGCTGCGAGCCATGAAAACTACCAGCATCTTGGGTTTGACTCGGTCCCCCCTGACCATCTTTTAAACCTCCGTGCAACCATCCATCGTGTGTTTGCGGGACCTGTTTATACACCGAGCGTTCATAGGTGGAGGTATCGTTGAAGACGGGGTCCATTTGGTTCTCTAGAACTGGGATATTGGACGGCTCTGGGATGTGTAGGGGTCGAGGACTTTCCGGAGTCAGAGTCTTTCCGCGAAAGTGAAGCGCTTCATCGGGACTGGGCGTCATGTAGACTTTGAGGAGGAGGTGGTTTCATCTACGGAGAAAAAGTGTCGGGGTGAAGAAGAGGGTCCTTGGAATTTTCGCAATCGCAAGCTAAGGTGGGGCGATGGGAAAAGATGGGTCGGATTTCTCAGACCTCACCCAGAAGGGAAAGGGGGGAGTTGAAAAGGAAGTAAAATAGGCGATGAAGAAGGGAAATAGGGAAATAGGTGGGGGGTTCTAGAGGTGCCCAGGTGAGAAGGGGAAAAGTTTGGTCAGGTGAGCGATTGGAGGCGTTGAGATTATGGATTTGCGGGATATGTCTATCACGAGGGCGAGTTGGTTCTTTTGATGTTTCTGTTTATTTAGAGAGATTCATAGAGAAGAAAGAAGATATTCCAAGTTTATAGATTATGTAGAGCAATGGTCGTTACCACAATAATCACTATA